CACTCGGCGCGTCGGCGACGACAACTACGTCAGTGCCCATCTCAACTGTGTAATCTCGTGAGGGGGCCCGGTGATCGAGGAGGTTGTTGGAGAGTTCGCGTTTTGTCTTGGGCGAAACGAACATCCTTAATATGAAATTCTCAGCCATGACGAAATGTGGCGTCCCTCCCCCCCCCCATCCTCTTCCCCTCCCTCCTCCCCCACGGTGCCGGTCTCCGGACTTCTCGGTCTGTGCTAAACACTCCGAGACCGTGACTAAGATAACCATGGGTTACACCGTAACTCCGCCGTGGGGATCCTCGTGGCACCCCCACGAACTCGATGGAGATGACCCGTCCTCCAGTAGCTAACAATCGCGGGATCGCGGGATCGCAGGTGGGAATACAGTAATAGCAATAATAACTCTATTTTCGGCCGCGGAGGAATCGAAACAACCGCTCCGGTTGCAGGACGCACCGAACGTCTATCTTGCCTATGACCTGCCGGTACGTACCGCGTGACAGGTAAGCAGAGGATCCCAGGGATGATCCCGCCGCCCCCCATCCCGTAGGGCGTACCATCTGTCACAGGACCACGGGCCACCCCCCCGCGGGCCACCCTGCTCCCCACCAAAAAACGGAAAAAGTCGCTATTTTCAAACACGCATAACGTTATGAATATAAGGATTTAAAGGTTATAAGTTATATCAGTCGAATTGTCTTTTTAAGCTCTTTAGATTGATATAAGTTTCTTTAGATATCACGGCTTATAACGAGTAGGATTCTTTACTTAATATAGATATAAGATTTTTATATCTTATAATAATATTTACCTATTAAAAATTAATTATGTTTATTAAATAAAGCTTTAAAATTATAATGATTATATTTTCATAAATCTTACCCACTCTTTTAAAAGGTATATAATGAAAAGTATTAATAATACTTATATATTAAATGTAATAATTAAATAGAAAATGTATATAATCTTGATAATAATATATATATTTCTTTAATATTATAACGTTATATAATATATAATTTATGAAATATTACTTATTATGTTTTAAATATCTATATTTATATATAATATATATTTAAAGTATATATTTTAAAGTTATAGTAAAGATAACAAGCTATTAAAATATATTGAAATTCTGCCAAATAAAAAGTTATATAATTAATTATTTTTTAACTAAATTTATATTTTATTTATAAATAAAATATACCTATATATTTATTACTTAATTAAAAGTTAAATACTATTTATTTTAAGGTTATTTGAAACGATATATATAAGAATTTATTTATAAATATACATAATATATAATATTAAATTAATAATAAATATATTTATTTAATTTAAAGAAGGTTTTCTTTATTTATATTATTATATAAGTTATAAATATAATATTATAGTATGAATATTACGTAATGTAAATCGAATAGAATTTTTATTATTTATATAAGTATTAATAAAATATATTGATATTTTCATTGCAAAAAGATTATGAAAAAAAACTTCAAAATTATAATTTTTATAACCTGTTATATAGAGATAGTAACAAAGAAAATAAATTATATTATATATATTTTATATCTTAAGTTTCATATGTAGAATGCTAAAGAGAAATAGGTATATTATAATATTATAATATTATATTAAATATTATATTATATATATTAATATAGATATTTTTAGAAGTATATATATATATATATATTATATATATATGACTAATTTTAAAAATTGAATTTATTTTAAAAAATAATTTAATATCGGTTCATTATTTATAAACTTAAAATTATTATATATTTTCAAAACTTTCCCCTCAGTTTTACCGTCTATATTTAGATGATAACCCTGTTCGGTATTATATAACTTATATTTACTTAAAGAGCTTGAAAAGGCAATTCGATTGATATAACTTATAACCTTTAAATCCTTATATTCATAACGTTATACGTGTTTGAAAATAGCGACTTTTTCCGTTTTTTGGTGGGGAGCAGGGTGGCCCGCGGGGGGGTGGCCCGTGGTCCTGTGACAGATGGTATATAGAGCTAGGCAACGTAACCCGATCAAGTACGACGTCAGCGTACTAGGGCTGACCAACTCGATGTCGATTACTAGGGCCGTCTACTCCTGTTACCCTTGGCAGCCAGGAGACGGCTGTGGGTGTGAGAAGTGTACGAAGGGTCGTCCCCGTACACACCTTCCTACTTGGTCGCCATTTGAAGTTGAGACGAGTCTCGGCGCCGTCATCTGATAATATATCCGAAATGCGTAGCAGTCTGGAGAGAGTAGGGTTGAAACCGTCCGAGCTCGATGTGCCGAGCGGCTGCACCCGTTGTCGCTCGATCTGATGACGATCACGACGACGGCATTCCTATCCTTCTCCCTTCTTCTACCTCGACCGGGTCGCAACGTCTGCACCGTGAATTTATATAACCCTGCGGACGTTGCGTTACACACCATACCGGCAGCCCGCGAGCGTCTCAAGTCTCAGCCGGGTCTCGGTGGCAGTGCACGGGGCAACTGGCGTGGCGGCTTCTCGTGATGAATCAGCGGGACGTGGGCGGACACTTGTGGATGAGTAGGCTTCGGCGAACCTCCGGCCACGCTCGTCTCGTGTCCCACCTCGTACCCGTGGCGGACGGGAGGCGATGCACATGTGATGGACGGCTCGACGAATGGCTCGCCGCCGATGTCCAATAGCCTCGGGTCTTCCGCGGCGCGGCCACTGGGCGGCGAGCCGAGGGAGGTGGAGTCGTAGGGTGTATCTTGTTTATTCCGGGGATTAGGAGGTTGGGTAGGCACGGATTGGGAGGATTGGTGGTGATTTCTTCGCGATCCTCGGCTATCATTTCAGACGGGCGTCCTGACGAAGCCTCGCGTCGAATCGACGCGAACCCGTGCGACTCGCGAGCGCGATGGAGAGATGGGAATCTAGAATTAGGGGAAGATCTACGGAATGCCCATGAACAGGACCTTCCTCGACTTTCCCACGCAGAGCCACTCGATTGTTCGCTGGACCCATGCTGGGCGGGTTACTGGCCGTCTATCACTTTGTCTAGACCCGTCGGGAAAAGCGGAAAATCTGGGGCGGTTGATGGCCCAGCTGCCGATCACTAACCGGATGGACGGTGGGAGTTGATAAGGCAAAAGACGCTCTAATGGGTACCAAGTGAGAGCTGCAAATACGAGACGGGTGGCCGGGCTGGAATTGGGGGTTCAATTTCCTTCTAGAACATCGATGGATGCAACCCTGCAGCGATATACACACATATATGGGTACCTCAGGTACTTAGGTTCCCTGGAGGTAAGCAGGTATGTACATATACATTGGGTTAGGTACCTTCTGTGCCTAACGTCCGTGGGTGCAATTAGCACTAATGGCACATAAGGGAAGTGACAGAGCAGGCGACGTGGCCCCGGGAAGAGGCCTAACAGAGGCACCCAGCCTCTCCAGACCCACACCGGTATCGTCGGAGGTACCTACCGAATATGTATACGTACCTACCTGCCCATGTACATGGGTGCATGTAAGGAATGGGAGTAATGGATCCGCGGACCTTCGTCGGTGCCCTGGCTGTTCTTGTTACCTGGCTGGTGGTAGGGAGGGACCAGCGGGTAACACGCATCGCATCCACTCCTGGACCAGCATCGGGTATAGCCACCATGTGTTTATTAGCCGGGTATATTCGGCGCCGAGTATATGTATACCGACGAGAAATCCTTCGGACCAGATGCCACCTCAGCATCTCTGGCTACGTACAAACGTATTCAACCACGTATTCCTACATACATCCATACACACCATACTCGTCTCCCCATCGTGTTATCGACCCCGTCGGTGGGCTTTTCCTGGATCGAGAGCTGGCGAGAAGGCAGGCTGCCGTCGGTACAGCGGCGGCCGCTGCCTGAGCGCGACGGGAAAGTTGACATCATCGCCAGACGGTGACGAACAGAGGGGTACCCATCCAGCGGATCCACCGGGGAAAAAAATAACACAGAGAAACATGAACATGAGAACATGCAAGCAATAATAACGATAAATGGTGGGTTGGTAAGCAACGAGCGCGGTACACACCCCGAAAAATGGGCTGGGCCGCGGGAAGAGAGTAAGCAGCGGTTGCTGGATGGATGGAATCAATCTAATCCTTCGCGCACATAATACATCCATCCACACACGCACGCATACGCGCACATCCTTCGTTTGTCGAGGCGGTGTCCGACCTGGAATTGCGTCGCGTCTGACTCATGGCCGCAAATCGTTCTCCAGGTTGCGAGATAATACGCTGTGGCATTTGGGGTCTGGGGAGGAGGGACCGTCATCGCCGCCATGGGAGGGGGGAGGGAAACCTGGCACACACACACACACACACACACACAAGGGATTTAGTACGTATATACCCAAGTATGCGATGCAGGCATGTACATGTGTGTGTACATGTGTGCTGCGTGTGAGTGTTGAGTGTGTGTGGGCGTAGTCGACGCTATTATTAGGCAGAAGACCAAACGCCGACGGACCTATACGAGTCGTCGTTTGTGGGCAGGCGGTCAGGAGAAATGCCGGTATTGGTCGGCACGACGAGACCGTTGCGGTCAGCCAACTCACCTTTGGTCCCGTTGGACACACTTACCTGTCTAGACAGCGCATGAACACACTTGCTCATTACCCAGTCGCCGAGGCTAGCTGACGGTCACGGCCGTCGGCGCCGTCGAGGAAAGGGGATGCGAAAGGGAGAAGGCAGAATAGAGAGAGAGAGAGAGGTGGGTGTAACCTCAACGAGTCATGTATACTACGGCTCTAGCCAATATGCATTGTCTTGTCTGTCCCTGCCGCAGTCGTAGCCGTCATCTTCACTACTACCGCCGACGCCAAAAGCAACCGATCGATCTCCCATCTTCCCTCCGGCCGGCCGTGGTTTTCGAGACGCAATCTCCTAAATCCCGAAGCACCTTATTGCCTTTCAGTTTTCCCGCTCAGCGCTCGGACGGGGGGTCCAGAAGGAGCCGGGGGGGGAGGGAAGGGGTGTAAAGGGCGGGGCAGGTAGGGGGGCATAAAAGTGGACGGACGAGATGACGGCTATTATTGTGGTAATTATTGCGATTATATTAGTATTACTGCAATGTAAAAAAACGAGGAGAGGGCTTGCAAAACGAAACCTTCGGGCGAGCGCAATTCAATGCAGGCCAGCGGAACAGCGTGCTCCCCCCCAATTTAACCCCAGCCCAAGGGTGAACATCGATGCCCGAAGCCCAACGGGACAGAAACACACAGGAAACACGTCCCTCGTCACAAGATTAGTAGGCCAGGTCCCTACCCTAGCCTGCTAACATGGCAGCGAGGGTGCTGTAATGTAAGGATTTTGCTACTGTCGTTCGTGTGAGTGCGGTACTACCTGTGGGTGCGTGGCAGCGGAACCGGCGCGGATTATTGTGGGCAGGGTGGTTGCGGGTATGTGCAATACATCAGATGCATCAGAGTGCCCGGGAGCCCTGTTAGTACCGAGGTGTATGTAAGCAGTGGTAATGGCAGTAGTAGCAAGAATAGTAACGGGCTAGCCCCTATGCGACAGCTTCTTCGCTTCGCACCTCCGCCCGGCGCAGAGGGCGGATGGAGATCCGGGAGCCGTGAGCAAAGGGGGAAGCACACGCGAGCTTCGGCATCTGCTCGGAACTCGATCCACACACATACGCGGACGCACTCTCAGACAACCCTCGCCCTCACACGCGTCCTCACACAAAACGCAGACGCGGAACAGGAAATTTGCTTGCTGCAATGGTAGGCAGGTTGCAGCCCTCGACGGCCCCCGTAAGCAACCTATCATCTATCATGGTGTTGGGTAGGCAGGGAGATACCGGATGAGTCTGCGCTGGTGGTGGTGAGCGGGGAGCTAGCAAGTGAGTGAGGGTGGCCACATTAGGAGGAGAGGAGGGTTGTGCGAAAGGCCTGGGAGGTTTGGTTGGGTTTACACGTATGTACCTAGGTACCAACCCAAGGTCCCTACTATAAGATAAGGTACCTAGGTACATAGGGTATCCAAGGTAATGACGCAGACGTACATCAACATGTCTGTAGGAGGTGGGTACCTACCTCCTACCTACCTACCTAGGTAGGTATGTACCCTACGTCTCTGTCGGCATGCAACCTCGCCTACACCCTCAGATACGCTACATACCTGTAGGTACCTAGTAAGTACATACATGCGTCCTACATGTACATACATTAGGCACGTTTGGAAGCTGCAGAGATACAAGTGTGTATGTACAGGATGTGGGTAGGTACATACATCCTGTGCGCCGAACCACGCCCCCCCCAGCTTCCCAGACGGGTTGCGACTCGAGGACTTACTGTGACCTGGGGAGCGAGATTATCCGTAACCAGGAAACGGTGGACATGGGAAGCTGGGCCTGCTGGGTTTGGGGCAGGCGGGAGACCAACCCGGCCGCGGCAGTCGGATAGCCAGAGGCCAAAGTGGACCCGGAGATGCGCCTCTCTCTTCTCCCTCCCTCTCTCGTTGTCTCTCTCACTCACACAAGAGCAGAACCCTGATCGTCATCGACGGCCCCATGGACTTTGTTCACTGGGATCATGCACGGCAATCCCACGGCCTGGTCCGGGCTACTGCCCATTGTCCACTCCCTCAGAAATCGGGCTTGCAGGGACAGAAACGAAGCAGACCGGGGAGCAGGGGGGGACGAGTCCAACAGCGAGCTGCCAGCGATGTTGTACATGCTTCTTATCTGGCGCGGTATATGCGACGGGCGTCTCTCGCTGTCGCTGGCATCGTTGCCAGCGCCTGTGCGGACAACGGAAAGAAAAGTAGGTCAGTACTGTTGGGTGTCTAGCCGTTACGTGCCTCGCCCACTCCTTCGTGATTGGGTGCTGAGGGTCGGAGACCGCCCTTCGAAAATGGGGGGTTTCAAAGCTGACTCCTCTTCAGGCGGTCTAGGCTGACTTGTGGTGTCTACACCTCTACCCAACCCTACCTTACACCCTATCTTTACACCCTACCCTTCCTGCCGGACCCCCCTTTTTTTTCTCTTCCTTTCCCAAGTGCAGGGATCTGACAGGCGGTCTGATGGGACGGATTTTGCAACGTGGGGGGGTGTGAGGACCGGGCGAGACTGGGAGGCAGGCCCTGCTGCCTCCGTGCGGCGATGATTCACTTCCCACCACCACCACCGCTACCACCACCGCCGCCACCACACCTCTTTCCGATATATATTTGTTCCCATGGCCTCGCCATGTGTCCCCTCCACATGCCTCCGGTCTCCGTGTTTGATCCCCCAGATCATCTATCAATAGCTACCGCGCCGCTAATACTTAATACCTCCTCGTCGTCCTAACCTACACTCTCACATCCTTGACAACCGCAACACTACAACACTCAACCTAATACGCGCACCCTATCAGCGACGACACACAGCGCAGCACAGCAGCACTCAACACGCTCTACTCACCCAACACGCTATATATACTGGAAGCTCGACGCGGATTTCCGCAACCAACACCGAGCAACATCCACCCTCGACACCTACACAAACCTCTCTCCACCATGTATAGCCCATACGGCTCCTACAGCTCGCTCAACTCCGTCGCACAGCCGATGGATATCGCGGCGAGCAGCTACCACACCTACAACTCGTCCTACCACGAACGCTGCGCATTCCCCTCGTGGCCGCAGCGGTCGTCGCTGACCGGCTCCTCGGACGAGGAGCGCGCCACCTCGTACTTATCCGACGACGACCTGTTCCCCTGCGACGGCCTCGAGGACGATGTGCACAGCATCTCGAGCGCCGGCAGCACGACGCCGACCTCGCCGGCCGCCACCGAGGTTGACCTGCTACAGCTCCAGCGCGAGCAGGCTGCCATCCAGCGCGAGGCCATCCGGCTCATCCTCAACGAGAAAGAGCGCCGCCGCGCCCTGTTCAAGAAGCAGCAACGCCGCAGCAGCGCCGGCTCCAAGAAGAGCCCCAAGTCCAAGCCCACCCAGCTCGATGCCATCGCCGAGACCGGCGAATGAAGATAAGGGGAGGAAAAAGGAGGAGACAATTTGACCGCGGATACGATGCAACAACACGCTCTCGAAGGGTAAGCCAGCTTCGATGCTGGTATCCTCCGACAATGAGAGGTGAAACCAGCCACCGGAAGCATAGCTCTTTTGGATTCCCTTACGTGCACACCTACCCATACACACACCACATGCACATATATTATGCTACGACGATTACGACATTATGCCCTATGATACCCCCTTTTTATTGTTTTTTTTATGTAACGGCGATGACACGGCGCCACTGGAAGCCTCATATGCTCCAGCCACGGTGTCTGTGTGCGCGCAGCAAGCCCACGGCAAACCCATCTTATTACGTATAGTCCACCGGATACCGGGTATCCGGAGGCTTTCGCTTCGGGTGCATCACGGCGTTTCCCCTATCCGGCCAGGGAGTTTTATGTGCGGGGGTTGGCCCATCTCTCTAATGAATAGAGGGAGGGAATGGATGCATGTTTCAGCCACTTGCAGAGACGGGAGGAAAGACCTCGCCGACTCTCAGATCACTACAGAGATTACTACAGTCTATTCCTTTCGACGTTCTACGCACCCAGAGGCTTTCCCGAGCAGGGTTTTGTGGGGTTCAGATTGGATCTCGCGGCGGTGAGAGCGACGGAGGAAGATAGAAGTGGGCCATCCGCCACTCCCAGTGGAGGCATGGCTGGATGAACGGATGTACGGATAACAAATGGGCGGAAGGATGGGTGGGATGGCGAAAGGGAAAGGGAAAGGGTAAAAAAACAACGGAATGGGACTCACCGCAGTAGGTGATCCAGGCGTTTGGGTTCTGGTGATAGGATTGGACAGGTGGAGGGAAATCGGTGCAGTTGCACGAACCTCCCCGGACGACAAGCCAATTGGCCGCGGCTTTTTTTTCTAGTCGTACATGTAGTGATATATATCTGTATTGGAAACCTATTGGGAATGCCGAGCGGGAGGGGAACGATGGAGGGAGAGACTGCGCACGCATCTACTAGCCCTCGGGCGTGGAGGGCGGGCGTGTAGCTGTAGTAACTGAGACCAATTTCAACCAACAGACGGAGACCGTCGAGCTTCGTGTTTGAGTAACCAGTAGCTACCGCTCATGATTCGCAGCTGAAAACTCTCCTTTGGGACAGGGTAAACTCGCCAACACCATGCTCCGACATTGGCAACCCGTAATCAGACGCGAGGAGGCCGGCTCCCGTCACGCGGGCTCAATCTATACGGTACAGTGTGTCGTGGTCTCTCTGGCTCTCCATAACCAGAGTCTCTATCTACCTACGTAATATCGGCGGGTGGTTGGCATAGGCGGAAAAAGAGAGGGCTACACATTTAACTGGATTACCAGCTGGTCGAGAGAGTGTAAAGGCGGGGGGCGGTGTCTCTCTTCACTCTAGGGACTAGAAAATAAAAGGTAATAGGCTACTATGCGTACATACCCAGATGAAAGCTATTCGCGCCATCGAGTTTCCCTAGCGATTCACCCATTCCGACCGGCTGTGGCGGGCGTGAACAACCCAATAAATGTGTGATGTTGTCTCGAGCGCGTTACTAACAGCCAAGGTAGGGCCTCAAGCTGCAAAAGGCTGGTGATTAATCTCGGTTGACGGGACCGACGGGGAGGTACCTCTCGATCGCTGACGCCGTCGGGGATGGGCACGAATGAGAACGCGCCGCCCACAGACGGAGCCGGATCGTTCGCGTTGCACCTCATTCGTTGCGGCTGGCAAGGGGCGCGGACGGGACAGACAACCTCACCACAACGGGCGCGCTGGGGTGGCAAGGAGAAGAAGCCCTTGCCCTAAGCGACCACGCCATGTGACGGTGATAGGGCAGGTAGCCAGCCATGTATACACCTATACCTACACCATCACGTCTCCGTGATTGCTTGCCGGTGGGGCCCGGAGAGGTCGACGGGAACGCATAATGATCCATAGATTGCGGGTGCGTGTCGGTGAGCGAGCTGCCTCCTCGTCAATAGTCCCACATCGTGTGTGTGGCGTGTGTGTGAGTGGGCACCGGAAGCCAGAAAGCAAGCAAGAAAAAAAATAAATCCAGATACAGTAGAGCAGCACATTCATCAGGTGGGCGGTTTGCATCATAGTCGGGCCAGCGTACCTCGAGGCGGTAAGGTCTCATACAGCTTGGTAGGCCGCGTACTACTACCCACCTCTGCATGGAATTCTGCATGGAAAAAACCGTTGAGCATCGAGTGGTCAACAATGCATCGAACGAGATGTTGAAAAAAAAAAAGGTTCGATGTGGGGAGCAGGAATGGCCTCGTGGGAGCGGTGATCGCCAATGAACAAGCTACATCACGCTATGAGGTCTTGGTTGGCTTCTTGACCGCTGAGACACCGTCGAGTCTCTCCGGAGGATCGTCCGTCTAGGTGTCCAAGGGTAGACCCTCTTCTCTCCCTCTCCCTTCTCTCGCCGCCCCTCCTCCTCTTCCGCCTCCTCCTCCCAGTTCCCGTGATGAGGGACGGGCTGAGTTGGGCAACAAGAGTCGACAGACGGGAAGATCGCCGCCAGGGCTTCAGACTAAGTCGGTCGTGGCGCCGCCCGAACGCAGATGCCCATTGGGGCGGCGACGCAGCGCGTGAGTCGGCGTGTACGTACGTGTGTGGACCCCACGCCAGCGAGGAGATGCCTGTCCGCCTCTCGTTCCGTTGTGCCAGCCCCTTCGTCCAGCCCCGGATGACTTATAATAACGGCGTGGCACCCGTGGTTGCCTCCCACCAGCCACGAGCCCTATCGCCGCGGGCGAGGTCGTGTCTCTACTCCCACGATGAAACCTGCTTGCTTCCCCCCCTCCCCCCATATCCAGCCGCCAGGCCAACGTCAACTTCAACGCCGACGCAAGCAATACCTCTCCCTCCTTGCCTCGTCGACACGTATGTACAGTACATGGGATGCTCGAGGGGGAAAGGGAGTGGGATTTGACAGCGGAGCGAAGCAAGCGCGGAGTTGTTCAGCCATGCGTGGCTAGCCAGCAATCTCAACCCCCTTGCCGCCGGGGGTGCTTAGATGGGCAATAGCGTAGATATATGCTAAGCTGTGTGATGCTCGATTTACCGGGACCTTGGAGAGCATCCTCTCTCCCGTTCTCCCCCTCGCCCGCGCGCGGCCGTATGCTACCTAGGTGCTACGTAGCAGACACGATACGCACTCAAGCGAACTCAGCAGGCAGGGTTTGCAGGCCTGCACATCCCGTCGACACCTACAGAAACACAAATAGTTAGAGAAAATACAAATAACTTGCATGTATACCTACATAAAGTTGGGAAAGCGGATAAGCCGGTGTAGAATGTCAATGCTCTTCTCTCTCTCTTTTTCATTCCCGCAGGCCGTGCGCTGGGGACAGGGGGACCGGGGTGAGGAAGAGGGATTTCGAGCCACGGAGACTACCTATGGAGTTGGTAATTACACCATCACGATCGTGATCACGTCGCCTAATCTGTGGGCAAGCCGCGGCCAGCCTTCTCTCACTGGAGGGAAGCCCCACGCCCACCTACACTACCTCTGCCGCCTGCGAGCGCGGACCGAGGCCGAGAGCAAGGACATGCCTCCTTTCCGACCTCTGCTTACGGTCGAGGAAGCAGGGTTATTTGAATGAGGTGAGGGTGAGGGTGAGGTGGGTACCGACATTTCTTTTTTTTTCTTTTTCTTTCTCTTTCTTTCTTTCTTCTTCGCCTCCTCTTCCTCCGTCCTCACATCCAGATATGTATGAGTATACCCAGGCCATAACATCTTTGCGGCCCTGCGGCCCAGAAATAAGCCAGCGTAGCATTCCATCATTTCGCGTTTAATCGCCTGATTGCGCCACCGGCGTGTCGGACGAGAGCTGGGTCGCATTGGCCCGGAGGGTTGGCGACGTGCCTATCTGAGAAACCCCAAGCGAAGAGAGAAAGACGCGAGAGACATACGCAGAGAGGGAGTGAGAGAAAGAGTGTGTGTGATAGAGTTAGAGTGATGAGTGAAAAGGGGAGGGCTTTTTTCTCTTCTCCGATAAGTATCTCCTCCCCCCTCTCCCATTCCTCTCCTTCTTGGCTAGCCTCGTATGTTGGGTATGACAATATGCAAGGGACTGCGGATGAGGAGAATGCGCTGCGCAATCGGCCAGCTCGAAATGAGGCTGTCACTGGGCAAGTAAGGCGTGAGGTTGACGCAGGTCTCTCTCCCGGCAGCCGCGGGGTTAAGGGGTTAACACCACGAAGGAGAGCGAGAGAGAGGGAGGGAGAGGGAGAAGAGAGAGGGGAAGGAAAAAAAGCTCCTAATGCGCGACATCTGCAACCCCGAGCCGATCCTGGAAATGGGGTCACACGGCGGGGAGGGGAGGAGAGGGGCTTTCTGAATACGATCTCTCGTCACTTATTGTGAGGCAGTTCATACATGAGTAAAGGCATCGAGAAATTCGTGTTAGTTTAGAAGAGATGCAGTACGTCCCTACCTCTGCCTACCCGTACCTCCCCGTCCCCGATTAGTTGAGGGGATTGGACAGAAACGTGTGTGTGTTAGTTACCTAGGCTATATAGAGATCTTAGTCGTCTATCACAAGGTTCTGACATTAATCAGCGGACGCCAACTTCCGGGATGTCGAGGATGGTGGCGTCGGAGTTGACGAGGGGGACCATTCTCATACCTGCTACAAGTTCTCTGGTTACGATATCTACATAGTAATAATGGCACAGAGATGTCGCTCAACCAAGTCTTGGTCTCTGCGTGTAGAGGGCATGGGCCGGTATTCTCTAACCTCCTCGTCGGACTCAATCCGCCTGCCCATGTACCAAGGTATGTATATGCCTAGACATATGTTTATATATGCCTATATATGCGCTTATCTGTATGCATCTGTCATAATGGGGCAGGTAATCTATTTATATAGGTATAAGCGTACATATATAACTCGAGTCCATACGTCTTCCCGGGTCGGGTTCGGGTTCCAGCTGCCACCAGCCTCAACTTGCCGTCGCCGTCCACGCCTCCCCCCACTCCACCCTTGCGCGTGCATGTGCTCGAACAAGTTCAACCTAGATTCCTTCCCCCCCCCCTCCCCATCCCACGCCTAGCCACCGAGGGCACGACATGATGTGTGTGCTGTGCCCTCCTGCTCGCAAGACAGTCCGAGAGCGAGAGACAGAGACAGAGAGGGAAAATTGTGTACTACGCGCAAGGTAACGTGGGCAAGACGTCGGCACCTATCATCGGTGAGGGAAATAGGGCCCGCGATAACTCAGGCATGCACGCAATGTCGGCAAGCAGGTATGCACGTATGCACGCTCTCAATGTGATTAGGGGTATAAGTATGTGCGCATATACGTACGTATATGTGTATGTGCGCGTGCGCGTGATGATCTTGCTTCATTGCGGGGGCGCGTCCTCGACAGACGCATGAACTATGAGCTGTGGCATTACAAGTCGAGTCCCGGCGTCCTATAAGGTGATAACGCTCAGAGAGAGAGAGAGAGAGAGAGAGAGAGGATACCCTGGGAAATTGAGGTGAGAAAAGCGTGGAGGATGGGGAAACGCGGAGGAGAGACATAAAAATGGGGGTAATAATAGAGGCACCTAAGGGGCGTGCCTCCTAGCCTATCTAAATCTAGAGTCGATGAGTGCGTGTATGTGCTGTACGTGCTTAATGTGCATACGTGTATATGATAGGTGCATGTACCAACCTGTCTATAGGTAGGTGACTTACCTGCCTAAGGCATATGTTGCGTCACTATATGTTTAGCAGCGGCAGGCACCTAACGAAGCATCGTCAGTAGAGGAATCGGTTATGCTAGGTACCTAAGTAGGTGGGTGATTACCGTGTCCGTTGAAGTTGAAGCAGGTTACAGACCAGCTCAACTAATCCCCTACGAAAAGTGTACTCTCAACTAATTCCTTTTGGCAATCAAGTGAAATGTCTACGATATTCATTTTAAAGCATTGTAATAAATCGCTATTCCGGTGGTAGTGGTCGTGGTCGTGGAGCAGCTAACTACCTGAATTTAATGGTAGTGGTTAGTACAATGGCAGCAATGGGCGGTAGTAACTTAAGTAATCAAATAAACCTCATCCCACCCTGTTAGTGGAGTATGGTTGTTTTGGAAGGAGCCAATGGAATCTTCAGCAAGCCGCGACCCGCTTTGAGCCGGTCTGTATTGTATTCTTCTCAGTTGAAGTCATCGCGTCTTCTCTTCCGCCTCTTCTTCGTCTTCTTCGTCTTCGAGGTGCTACACAACCTGCTGTCTGTCTTCCCCATGTTCTCCAGGATCCAGGGGATAGCTAGGTACGTCAAGACTTTTTTTTTTTCTTCTCTTCTGTCGCCCGCCCGCCGAACCCTTGCATCCGTCCACCAACGATCTTCCTCGTCACTGCTTTTTACCGCCGGGCCCAGCCTCAGCAGAGCCGTCGCGTCCAATCACCCCCTCCATCTCCGCCCCCCCCTTGCCGACGACGAGCCAATCTTCTGCCTCAACCAGCCTTTCACGACAGTCGGCGCTACTGCGAGGAACGAAGCTCGTCAACATCCATTCTCACTTGTCCCTAATTGTCCAGGCTAACCCCCCTGCGTCCGCCCAACCACACGTCGCCGTCAGCTTTCTCCTCAGTTGCGCGGGAGAAATAGCCAAAAGAGCTTGTCTGGTACCTACGTTCGCCGCCTAGCAGCACCCAGTGCCCGAGAGCTTCAGAGGAGCGAAGATCGAGCCGTCCCCGTGCCCTCGAAGCGACGCTGGCCAACGAAACGTGGTAGCCACTTTTCCAGAGCCATGCCACTCGACCCAGCGGTATTGCCTCCTCCCCACCATCTTCGTCGTGCTCTCTCCCTCTCTCCCTAGGTCCGGTGCCTTGCTGCTGCTGCTGTTGGTATCGCAGCTGCTACGGCTGCTGCTCCTGGGTTGCGGCGCACTTGAGACCTCAAACCCGCCCCCGAATCTTTATATATGGAGAGTACGGAGGGCAGGGTTGCGTTGAAGAGGAGCAGACCGTCGGTGACAACGCCCCCCTGATAGATAGCCGTTCCCTATGCACCCCAAACGTGCTTCCAGCTCGGCAATGCATGATCAACGCCTCTAGCTAATGTCACTCACCTTGGTCCCTTTCTATTCCCAGCCTTCGGCCTAGTGGCGAAGCTGGTCGAGCCACCCGGGACGTCAAGGGCAACCAACAGGAGAAGGGAGAGGAGAGAGAAGAGGTGAGGCTAATTATATCGGGCATCGTGATATACTGTGCCCTCCCGAACATCCCCTGTCTCGCATGATCCATCGCACTACTGTATCGAGGGCGATTCGATCACCTTGGTACCCTGAACCGCACCCTGTCCACTCGGTAGGCGAGTGGCCGATTAGACCCCTGCGCGATGCTGCCAATGCATGTACAGAGACTGGGCTTAGCCGGACCCGTACCCGCTCGAGATATGGCCTCTCGGTTCTTTACTACGTAGTATGTGCGATCTGGGCCATTGAGAGGTCAGAACAACTCCTCTTTAGGCGCTGGACTTCTTGACAGAGATACACGCCTTATTTGCTCTCCCACCCCCCCCCTCTCCTTCCAATAGCTCGCCCGTAGGTGTTATGTATGTCTCTCTGCGTGTGTGCCATTTCCTCTACTTCTTCGCCTCCTAATCCAACACCCAAGTTGCTCCTGTCCAATTCAGCATTCGATCCCGAACTCGGCTGATCGAGGAATCAGATGCAACCGGCGGGCGCCTCCCAGACATTATACCTCAAACGCAGTGACACTGCTGTCACCGTAGCACTCTCCACGAGGAGGTAATCAGGCTCGTACGCCGTCTCGCTACCTACCCTCTTCCCGCCCCTGGACCTCCTTCTCAACCTTTTTTTCTCCTCCCAACCTTCTCCAACCCATTTTCTTCTCTCGACAGAAGAAGAGAGAGAGAGAGCGCCACCAACAGCAGCACGCTACCGAGCTGCCGCAACGTAGCAGCGTGCTATCGTGGAACTAGGCGCTGTCGTCGACCTAATTGCGCGCACCTGACTCGCAAAACCGGCACGGTGGCTGAGGAACGTGGGCCGCGAGAGAGAAAGAAGTAACCTATCCGGGAACGGGAAGGCTTAGGTGTTGCGTGTGATGTTCGGGGGCCGAATTGTATAGCGCCCCGCTTGCCCTCGACACTGGAAGAGATCCTTCCGAGCGGGTATACACGCACGTACACAAGTTGAGGTGAGTTGGCTCGAATTGAGACCCGCTTGGCTTATAAGAGAGATCTCGGCCCCCTCCTCATAACCGCTATCCCACCTTCCCCGGGCGGATATCTATCTAGATGTGCCAGATAGACAAGATATTAACACGTCCGTAGGTCGCGGACACAGCGATGTCGTCCTCCAGCCATCAGGCGATGCCTCGCCATCGCACCGCACCCAAGGGCTCCGCCGGGCACTCCTCGAGACAAGGGAAAGTCGCTGCCGAGTCGATAGACTTCACGTCCCCGACTACTACACTCGTGAGATATTTCGAGCCCACGGCGGCCACAGCCGCAATGCTGCTATATGGACGTGAGTGAAGAAGGAATTCGAGCCACCCGCGGGCTTGAGAGGTAGTAGAGAAGAGACTAATACCCGGGATAGAGGGCAGCTCCGTAGTCGTCGCACACCATGACACCTTAACGATCGAAAGGCGGTTCTCACGCCATTCTGCAGAGGTACAGTTGTTAGCCGTAGATACGCAGAGCGAGATTGGGGCCGGCCGGCTGGTCGTCAGCTACGACCTGGACATGACCGCGATCGTTTGGGACCTAATGACAGGCGATGAAGTCGCCCGGTTTGCTTCGTACGAGACTCTGACGTGCGCCGCCTGGATGCGTAACGGAAACGTCGCATTCGGTAGGTCTCCCACGGAGGGGGAGGCATTTTTTTTCACCCGTCTATATAGCTAACATTGTGGTGCCAGGGAACACGCAAGGAAATATCATCCTCTTTGAGCCTACCACCTCCGAGCATATCTCGGCCCGGACAATTGACCAGATACCGGTAACTGCTCTAGCCCCGGCGTCCGACTGCAGAACATTTGCCATTGGGTAAGTTTCAAGCCTCGTCCCGACTCCGCTTTCTGTGTTCGTGTAGCTTGTTCCTGACTAGCCCTTTGAAGGTATCAAAACGGCTCTCTCTTGATAGCCACTCTTCAGCCTAGGTTCACTATCCTGCACAATCTGAGCACCTCGAGAGCCCCGTCGCCGATCGTGAACTTGGCTTGGCACGCGTCATCTTCTCGCCAGAAGTCGGACATGTTGGCTGTGCAGACCAACGATGGTGACCTGAGAGTGTGGAGCGTGGCTAAGTCGTTCAGCAGCCAGGATCCCGCCAAGGTGGTCAGGATACTGAAGCGTACGGAGAATTACCAGAACGGTCCCAACTGGATGGGCTGGTCGAAGAATGGCCGCATAATCCAGTATTCCGAAGGGTAGGTCGACCCTCCATCATGCATGGACAAGGCTACGCGCGCGCTAAATCCACTCGATGCTAACGATGCTATTCGCTGTAGGGAGACCCTCTCGTGGGATGTTCGAACAAAACATGTCACCCACGACAGCATCCCGACTCTGGAACACGTCCGCGGCCTCGCCGTGTACGGTCCCGCGGCGACCTTGTTCACTCTAGGTGCCAATAACACCGTGCAGCAGTTCGATCTGAACACGCCGTCTCAGATTGTCGCTAACGTCCAGCACCCCGCAAATCTCTTGCCGCCGTCCCCGCCGGTCTCCATCGAGGAGCAGCCCGAGCAAGGGGTTGTTATCATTGGTACTTCCGAGTCGGACTCGTCTATCCCCCTCAATGCCGAGATTTCCGAAAGCGATGACGAGCACCTTTCGCCCATCGCGAGGATGGCGCAGAGGACCGGCCCTCCCTCGGAAGCTTACGATGACCAGGACAGGTACATGTTGGCGAGCCCGACATCCTCCAGAAGCCACGCCTCGACTCTCTCCAAGTCGTCTACCGGCTCCGGCACTAGAGGCCGATATCAGCCCTCCGTTATATCTCGTGGCATGACCGAGAATACTTACATCTCCGCAGGGTCTTCTCTTAGGTCCTCAGCAATGCCGCCGTACGGTGACAAGGACGCTTACTCCATTAGCAGCATGAGTTCGGCTTCTATAACTTCGTCATCGCGCTCCCATCATCACCGGCCTTCTCGATTGAGAAATGAGGTTTTGCCTAGCCCCGAGGAATCCAAGGTTAACGACCTCTTCAAGTTCACGAGGAGCCGTCTCCACGACATTCCATACAAGCATGCTCATTTAGCTGACCAAACTCTGTTGACCAATGATGACCTTCGTCGACAGATGCTGAGCATTATCTTCGGCTGGAATAGGGAGATTGAGGACCTCGTTCGGGACGAGATATCACGGCATCCTCTCGGCTCGCCGAGCCGCATTCTCCTCTCCAAGTGGCTCGGTGACATCGATGCGGACTTTATGACGGCGACATCCGAGAACATGACGTCGTCGGATTGGATGCTGCTTGCCCTAAGCGGAATTGGCGGCCAGGCCTCCCAGCACAAACTTGGGCGCGCGTACGTACAGCGCCTTTTGGAGAACGGAGATGTGCATGCTGCGGCGACGATCATGATAGGGATGGGGGACCAGAACGACGCGATTGAGATATACGTCTCTCATAAGAAGTACATGGAGGCTGTGATCTTGCTCTGCCTATTCTTCCCGCATGTTTGGGAACGCCAGGCCCAAGTTATCAAGAAATGGGGAGAGTTCGCCGTTCAGCACGGCCAGCAACAACTGGCGATCCGTTGGTAAGTGAGGAGAGCACAGGGCGAATGTCCCAGCCATTATGAAGCCTCGCTAATTACATCAACTAGCTTCGCTTGCACCGGTGTTGAATCCAGCGAGCCCTGGACCTCGCCGTCTGCAGCTCAAGTAACCTTCCAGAGCCTCAACTCGAGCATCCCAGAGATTCTCAGCCCACCGTTGTCTCCTCCGGGCCTGAATCGCGGGCCACAACGCAGCATCGCAAAGACCTCCGCGCTGAAGCTTATCACGTCGTTCGGCGAACAAGGCAAGAAGTCGAAGTTCTTTGCAGCCGGTGGCGCTGATGGGGGTCAGACTCCCATTGCAGCAGGTGTCACGCCAATTGCCGAGTCTGCTATTTCGCCTGGCGTTCAGGATCCTAGCACCGCATTCCTTCGCCCGTCACAGCGAAGTGCCTTCAACACGCCGGCCTCTGCGAAACCCACTACGCCCGGTGGCTTCGGACGGCAACGCCTCCCTTCGATCGGAGAGATCCCAGCTAACGCCCTCTCTCGTAACCTGGTGAAGAGAGATCTGCCAGTGCCTCCGAGTGACCCTAACCCTGAGGCGGGCCAAACCCCCAACCGTGTGCAGCATGCTCACAAGCCCTCCACCGAAGAGCAGTTCAATGCTGGTATATCCGTCCCCAGGTCCGCCACGGCGAGCCCGAGGATGGTGAACGAGAGTCGTCGTCAAAAGGATCCGCCTCCTCCTTCGCCGTCGCCTGCATCGCTCCACGCTCTTATGCAGCAAGGCCGCTCGAGCCGGAACGGGGCCCGAGAGCGAAAGCCCGAGGGGATGCAGCTGAAGATCCAGTCCCTCGAGACCGCGATGAATAGCGACGTGACGTCCCCAGAGCAGTCGGTGGCATCTTCCACTCGCTTCCATTGGCCGACCCGTCGCCGCGGGCCCGGGTCAATTGCCAGCTCCGTCACGTCAAGCTCCAGCGTAGGACGGGGTTACCGTGCCCAAGGGGGCCAGGGTGCCCGCGGTTTGAACGAGTACATACACAGCCTGGACACCGCACAGCATTACTCGCGGAAGCAGCGCAGCCGTGAAGGTAGCCGCCACCGCCAGGAGACCCGGAGCCGCGAGAGCAGCCGTAATCGTGTGGGCGGTACGCGAGAGAGCTCAGAGGACCGAGGCAGGGGTGTTTCTCGAAATTGGACTCCCAAACCTGCCAAGCGGTCCCCTACTTCGCCGGTCCCCATGTCACCCGAAGACCTTATCAACCTGGGCACTCCCATGCACATTGATACTAGTCTGATGGACGAAGCGATGACGCCGATGGTGTCCGACCTCCCAGAGCCATTGTCCACTGTGCGAAAGTCGAGCCAGATCCGGCATATGTCGCCGGGAAGCGCTCGCATCACCAGCCGTGCTTCGAGCCGTGCCGGTCGCCAGAGAAGTCAGGAGCGGAGGCCCCCGGCGCTCGAATTACGTGGTAGAAGCCAGAGCCGTGGTGACGGGGCTATTGTGAGATCGCCCTCATCGCCGCTGCCCATGTCGGCTCCCATGAACTTCTACGGTTCGGACGACGAGGAGGACTATAAGGCTGCCGTCGCCGCGAAGGAGTCGTTTAGGAATAGGCACAACCGCAGTGGAAACCTCAGCGCGAAGGACCCGGCGTCGCCCGCCGTCTCTCGGGCTCGGGATCGGTCAGAGAGCCGCCGCAGGAAGAACAAGACTCCTGCCGACCAGGAGGTTGCTCCCGTGGCGGCGCCGGTTGTGGTGCCGGCCGTCCAGCTAGCGCCCAAGCCACCCCAGCAGCAGACGAGCGCCCCGCAAGCCGGAGATCTCAAGCTAATCTCTGCCGAAAGACAGTTGAAGAAAGAAGCGGCGGCCCGTGAACTAGAGGAGCGTCGCAAATCTCTCGCGCGCCGCCCCTCCGCACCGCCGATCCCTCACCCAGATGAGTTGTCCCCTATCGTGTCTCGCCCACCGAGCGCGTTTGAATTCCCTCACACAATGATGATGGCTCCGAGGGACATGCCGGCCAGAAGTCATACCGCCGACCCCCATAGGAGCCCTCACGCGCACGCGCGCGGCGGGACCGCCCCGATGGTCGGTCTCCCGGCCACGCCTAAGGCGATGCGCCTCCAATTCGAGACTACCAAGCACGCGGTGCCACCAATCCCCGCATCTTACAAGGCGTCGCCGACGTCTTCGGGACAACCATCGCCCGACCGGCCCCCTAGTAACTCGCCGACGAAGTCTCCCTCCAAGTCTCCGGCCGAGTCGCCGACCAAGGTGCCGGAGAAGGAATCGGCGCCGCTCCTTACCCTCCTCCCGTCGACCGTCTACTCGCCTCCGTCGCGGCCGAACATCCCGAGATGCATGTCGGCGCCGATCCCCGAGGAGAACCCAGCCCGCGCTACCCCGCACCAGCAGGGCATGCAGGCGAGCAACCAACCGGTGCGCAGGGGCTCCGTCTCGGCGCGAAAGATGAGCGTCGATACGAACGCTGGCATGCCCGTGATCAATGAGGCGCTCAGCCACGTTGAGCGGCACGCGCGACGTCCCTCGCGCGACGACCAGATCCCTCCGCCGCCACCGCCACCGCCACCGATGCTCAAGGAACTGCAGCATCTGGCAGTACCACCTCCGCCGCCGCCGGCGCCGATCCCGGGTTCGCGTCCCGGTGTGTTTCAGGCGGCCGGGTCCGGGACGATCGAGATCGTGATGGACGAGGAAGAGCAGCCGCAGAGCAACGCCGCCCCCGCGGCTGCCCCCGAGGCTCTAGCCGCAGTTGCGGCGGCGGCGCAGCAGGCGCAGCCCTCGAGCCCGCCCGTCTCGTCGCCGTCGCGCGGACACCACCGCGGGCGCAGCATCACGGACAACAGCATTGCGGGGCGCATCAGCCGCGCGACGGAGCGGATGCGGTCGGCGAGCCGGCCCCGCGCCAACTCGATCCTAGGCAGCCGCACCAAGTCGCCCGAGGCGGTCACGGTGCCGTACGAGAGCGTGCCGCCTCCGGCCCCCTACGTCAGCAACGGCAGCGGGGGGTTCGTCTCGCCGACGAGCCAGCAGGCACAGCTGGTGGAGCGCCACCCCCGCGAGGTCCGCGCCGCGTACCGGGAGCGGGAGCAGTTCGGCAGCGGGCTGCACGTCAGCGAGATGATCTAAGCCTGCCGTTAACCTCGTTCCCTATCTAAGTTGCAATATTACGCCTTCGTCTCGTCAACTCTTGGGTTTCCCATCATTTTTTTCTAGTTTTCCCAAACTTCGTCTCTTGGCCCCCTTGGGCATTGTATCCTTCTATTCTCTCTCTAAGCGAATTTCGATCACGCGAAGGTGGTCGCCCGTTTCGCCCCCTTCTCTTCCGATTCCCTCGATTCCTTTTGCTCTTTCTGCATGGCGTCGGCGTCGTTGCCTTCTGATTCTCTACCTATCGCATTATTACTATACTCTCTTCGGAAATTTTGATACCACTTCTTGACCTTTTTGACTCTTTTTCGGATGCTAGGCCTCTCCCCGTTTAACGCGCCCGCCATTATTATCTGTATGCCTATTTTCTTGTAGTTTCAACATATGCATTACATTATTCTCCCTAATGGCATCACGGGCGAGCAATCGACGACGACAGAAAATTATCATTCTCCCCCCCCCTCCTTGTCATCCGCTCCCTTCACCCACCAACTCGGGGTTTTTTTTAGTTCGTCTTCGCTTCGGAATTACTTGTACACTTCATCCGTACCTACTGTCTTTTTGGAGGTGTGGCAAGTGAGTGGCTGGGAAAGATCGTCAATACCCACGGTCTCGGCGTCGCGCAAGCCCGCCGGGGACCCTGATCACGATTTATGACCGATGGAGCGGAAAGAAGGAAGCTAGCTATCTTTAAGGGGAGGGCGACGGAAAGCGAAAAAAGCGAGGACGAAGTCGCGACGAACCGGGAAGCCGAAGGAGTAGGTAGCTAGCCTGCGACGAGGTGGCAGGGGAGGAAGAAGAGGCTGGTTGTACAGAATGGCATTGCGGCAGTACAGTGAGCCTGCGTGATTATGATGATGACGATATCCGGACAAGACACGGCAGAGGAGAGAAACGTATAGGGGCAGGGGAAAACAAAAAAGGGGGTGGTGAAGGAAGAATTCCGAAGAGAAAAGACGTTAAAAAAAACTCTAAAAAAAACCCCCCGACACGCAAAAGTCATGATGACAAGAATGGTGCTGCCTCACGGCATCCTTGTACTTCGCTTCTAACCCCTTTACCATTTGCCTTGGGAGATTTTGATAGTCTGTTATATAGTTCGTGCCCGCCCCTACCTAGTTAATTGGAGAGTTCCTACGATGCGTCGCCGCTTGTGTGTCAGTTGCGAATGATGAAGTGTGGATGTTGAGTTAGCCTAAGCTGTTGTTACGTGGGTTGCACGGAGATGCTAAGAGCGTGTGTGCTCCTATGGGAGCGAGGTCAGGTGACAGTGATGGATGGGCAATGCTGAAGGTCGGCGCAGGGGCCCAGGGAGAGAAACCACTTCGGCGGAGGTCTCGGATTCAAATGCCTGCAACGGACAGGCTTTTCACAGGCCGCGCAGGGCAGCGACAAGGCACGCAAGGGACGGAGGCCGTAGGGGAAGCCGTGGGAAATATCGCAGCAAAGAAAGAGGGCGGGTGTGTTGGGCGGTGTGGTGGTTTTTTTTAAAAAAAAAAAGTATAGGTAAAAAAAAATAATGGGAGTTGACAATCTCCATCTCACGCCTCTAGCCCAAGTCTCCGGGTCCAACGTGTTCCGCCACACCACGCGACGGGGGAGATTCTCTGCAGAGTGAAGCCTCCCTGAAGGGTGCTCTCCATTTCCTAGGACCGCCTAGTCGACACTAGTTACCTAAGCGGACAGGCGATCACCGCGGCGTTTGCAGCGGGCGCGACACGGAGGTTCTGATGGAATTGGGAGTAGCGGCGTGAGCATTGCAAGCGCCTTCAACCGATATGACCATTACAGTCGAAGATTCGCCGTTGCTATCTCGCCTGATAAACGCCCCTCGCAGCGCTGCCGGGTAAAGTGCGGGCTATCGGGGTCGGTGCGAGGTTACCTCCGATGTTGGGCCGCCTTGAGTACCTACGTACTTGAGTACCTCCTAATCTTCCTCCAACAGATCGAGCCACCGCTACAGCTAGGGTACCAACCTGCCTACAACATCGCCGAGTTCCATCACGCCCTGTACCACCACTACCACCATACGAGATGGCCCACGACGGCCGCTGCTAAAGTCGCGGTGCGCACGCAGCGCCGTAGCGCGTACCCTACTAAACAAACCCATTCCTCCCCTCTCTCGACACCAAACCGCGCTTTCGGACCACCTCTTCCCTCCCCCCGTCGACATCCTAACCCTCCCGCCGCCATGCTCACCACCGCGCCCTACCTGCGCACGCGGCGGCCCTCGCCCACCACCGCCGAGTTCATCGTGTCGACGCTGGCGCCGCCGACGCCGGCGCGGCGTCTCGCGCTCGCGGGCGTGTACCTCTTGCGGCTGGCGCTGGCGCTGGGCGTGCTGCTGCTCGCGTACGCGAGCTGGGCGCAGAGCCCGTACGCGCCCACCACCACCACCACCACCACCGCCGCCGCCTCCTCCTCGCCGTTCTCGCGGGCGCGCGGGGCGCTGGACGCGGCGCTGGGCGCGACGGCGGCGGGGCGGGCGGTGGCGCGGGCGGCGGGGGCGGTGCCGGGGTGGGCGCTGGGGCCGGGGGCGGCGGCGGCGCTGTGGGCGCTGTCGCGGCGGGTCGGGGCCGAGGAGCGGCTGCTGGTGCTGCGCGGGCTGGGCATCCAGACGCGGTCGAGCGGGGCGTCGGTGCTGGCGGCGCTGGCGGCGGCCGACGGCGGCAGCCGCACCCGCTTCGTCCCCACCGCCAAGATCGTCGACGTCCTCCTCCACGAGGCCTTCCGCGGCTTCGAGGTCCGCCACTACCTCGCCGTCGTCGTCGACGGCGAGGACGACCTCCTCCTCGTCTTCCCCCGCCTCCTCCCCCGCCCCCGCATCCTCGAGGCCGTCTGGCGCGGCGTCCGCGAGTGCCTCTACGACACCGATGCTCCGCCTCCTCGCGCCCCCGCCGCCTCCCTGCCCCCGCCCGAGGGCGCTCGAGTCTGGAAGGCCCGCCGCCGGGATCTGCAGGTCGAGTAGGATAGCGTAACGGTGGGGAATGCCGCAGATGGCTAGTTCGGAACGATACGCAGATGGTCGAGGACGCTAGAAAAGCAGACGCGGACAGGTTGGCGGATTGTTATTAGGTACCTATAATTTGCCATTGGGTGGAGCGTGGAGTTACTCGGGGGATACACAAGGATATATCTGAAACACGGCATCCGTATACAGTGTCAACGGGTTGTCTTGTACATAATCTATCATTTCATCCTTAATATTCATTCCTTGGATCGTTGACCCAGTTCTTCTATCTTCTATCCGGACGCCTGGTCCAACGCCACAGGCGCCTCCACCTGGGCTGCCTCGGCCTCGGCCTCGGCGGCAGCGAGATCCCTCGCCGCGACCCTCTTCCTTTCGAGCGCCTCCCTCATGTCCGCGGCGGACGCGTAGCCTTTCTTCTGCGCCTCGCGGTCGAAGATCTCCTCGGGCGCGGGGATTCGCGGCTTCTCCAGCACGGGCTGGTAGCGGCCGGCCTGGCGGGCCGTGTTGCCGCCCTCGAAGACCCAGCGCGTGGGGCGGGTCCGCGCCGGCGCCGACCGGTGCTGGCCCTCTGCGCCGTCGACCTGGGCGGCGATGGCGCCGAGCAGCTGCGCCGACAGGATCTCGTCCATCTTGCGCTCGCGCCAGTGCTCCCACGCGCGGGTCGCGACGCCCGTCGCGCCGTACCTGTCCTGGGCGTTCTCCTCGCCGAGGTACACCCACCGGAGCGCACGCGTGGGGTCTGCCACCCCGTCCCGCGGGAACACGCAGTCCCACAGCACGAGCGGCACCTCGTCCGCGAGCACGTAGCTCGGCCGCCGCGGCTCCGCCTCGACGTCGAGCAGGCGGTCCACGATCGACGGCGCCTCGAGCCCCTGCCCCACGAGGAACAGCACCGCCACCATGCACCGGATCTGGTGCCACAGGAACGCGTGGCCCCGGACGTGGAAGTAGTAGACGCTCGGGGCCCGGCGCGCCGACGCCGGCGGCACGAGGCCCGTGGCGGCGTCCGGCCGGAACTCGTCGCGGTCGAGGTGCGGCAGCCCCGTCTCGGCGCCGGGGAGCTCGACGATGTCGCTCTCGAAAATGCGCCGCTCAAAGTTCATGGTCACCTTGCTCGCGTCGACACGGCAGAAGTTACGGAAGTCGTGGACGCCTTCGAACTTCTTGGCAGCCGCGCGCATGGCCTCAATGTCGAGCCAGCCGCCCTTGACCGCGGCGCCCGCGACGCCGGCGGCAGCAAGCTCTGGGTTCTCGAGATGCGCTGGCAGCGGTGAGAAGGCCGGCTGCGTGAAGAAGTAGCGGTACTGCCGCCCGCCGCAGTCGTACCGCGCTGAAAAGTCAGCCGGCGTCGTGGGGCACCAGGCGAGCATCCGGATCTCGGGCGGCAGGAGCCGGTTCAGCATCCGGCAGTACGGAAGCTCGTCTCGGACGTCGTCGAATTCGCACTCGGAAGCTTGCTCGGCCTCGTCACCTCCTTCTCCTGCCCCTAGGCCTGCTTGCGTCGCTGCCGCCGCCGCCGCCAGCTTCTCCTCGCGTCTCAAGGGCCTGTTGCTCCGGACCCGGAGCGCGATGACCTGGCCGAACGCGCTGACGCCGCGGTCGGTGCGGCCGCACTTGGAGTAGCCCCAGGGCTCCCAGTCGACGACCTCGGGGCGCTCGGGGAAGATGAGGCAGGCCTTGACGAGGGCGTTCCAGAGCTCCTCCTCGATGGACGGCGCGTTGGCGTCGGCCGAGAACTCGAAGCCGCCGAAGTCTTTGCCCAGGTACGCCAGCTTGAAGGCCACCAGCCGCATCGAGTACTTGGACGCGTCGATCTTGCGCGCGACCTTCTTCTTCTTCGGTGGCGGCGGTTGGCTGTCCGACGGGCCGCCTGCGGCGAGCTCGCCGCCTTCCTCCGGCGGCTGGGCCCCCCCCGCGCGGAGCAGCTCCTCCTCCAGCTTCCGCACCCGGGCGATCAGCGCCGCCTTAGTCCACCGCTCGTACGCGAGCCGGTCCCCGTCCATCGTCTTGAGACTCGCCGCAGCGAGCCCCGTGGAAAAGCCACACCAGCCCCCGCGGCGGGGAGCGGAGAGGGCGGTCGCAAGCGATCTCAGGAGGCGCGGGCTACACCTCCCGCTGGAGATCCTCATTCATCCCCCTCCCGATAGGGGTCGTATCCTCGAGAGGATAGGACTATTCGTGCTTTAGATGTTTTGGCGGGGGGAGGGGAAGAAAGGAGGCGAAGATGTCGTTGGTCGTTTTAGTGAAGAAGTAGAAATGAATTCCGATTTGGCGCTAGGGAGGGAGAAGAGAGACAGAGAGAGAGGTATGTAAAAGAATTGTGATAAAAAGAATATCTACCATTAGGTACATGGGGTCTTATCTACGGAGTCGCATAGCTACAACTGGGAAAAAACTCCACTTTTCGGTACGTACACCCTAGGGGTGTGGTAGGTAGGAAGGTGCAGGTTGAATATTTAATTATACGTAGGGAAGGAGCTACCCTCTGGTTAGGTCGGCCAATAGGTAAGCTAGACTACCCCTTCGCGAGCTAGGTATTTTATATAGGTTTATATAAAATAAGGCCCGAATTATTCTACTTCGTAGAATAATTCGGGCTTATTTTTAACGTAAACGCTAAAAATAATAACTTATCCGGAGGATAGAGAGATATAGAAAGTATACTTAGTTTATTTAATAACGATTTTTAGAGCTACGAACTTTATTTATTATAGAAAACCTAGAAAACGCAAGAAATTATATATAGAAAACTTATAGTTCATACGAAACTATTTTTTATAAATTCGAAACTAGTTTAAATTTTTACGTTAACGTATATTATATTAAGTAAAGCGTATATTATTTACGATAAAAAACGTATATAGTAAAACGAATTTAAAAAGAATAAAACATAAAAGAAATCTAGTATAGAAAATTTTTTTTAAAGTTAAAATTACGTAGGTACGTAATTTCTATATTAAAAAAGGGCGTTATACCTAATAAAACTACGAACCCCTTAAACTTATATCTTTATTACTTCTTTCTACGTTTCTTTTCTACTTTTTTCTACGTACCCGTATTTTTTTCTCGTAATATACGTAGGATTTCTCGTAATAATTCGTTACTAAAAAGAGCGTTAATATTTAATCCTTATTACTCTATAACCCGCTTTTCCGCCTTCCGGATTACTTTTCTAGTTTTCTTATAGACTTTATTAAAAGCCTACTTTAAATTAAAATTTCTACGTTAGCGTACTTTATTATATATTAACGTACCTTTTTATTAATTTTTTTAAAATCGAAAGCTTTTTTTAATTCTATAAATTTAACGAGCTCTAGCTCGGCCTCCCGGGGTACCTTAGCGTAAACGTAATAGCCCTTATAATAATAGTAGTAGCGATTATTTTTTATACTTTGTCACGTAGGCATGTACCCCTAGTGGGAACCACCTAGCTTACCTAAGCTAGCTAAGTACTACTATATATACCTATAGATCGCTCCATACTCTCTAATAGCTTTCCTTCTTTTCTAGTTAATTAATATATACCTTCTTACCCTTATTTTATTACTTTCCTTACGAATAACTTATTAACCTAAGCTTAGCTCTCGCTAGCTACGTAATAATTATAAGCCCGGGGTACTTTTAAGGAGCTATTATTACTTAAGTTATTTTAATATAAGTAAGTAATACATTTATCTATTTCTTAAATCTTACGATTATACTTCCTTCTTATTTCTATACCGGTACTCTATCCTTATATCTAGTAATAAATAATCGCTTACCTATTTTATTATAACGACTAATACGTCCGAATTCTCCTTAAATAAGATTCCTATTAACGTTTACCTACGAGCTTACGATAAATAGTTACGTTAATTCCTTACGCTTAAATCGATAGTTATTTAATTCGGTATCTAAAAGGACGTTAATCTAAATAGAGCTAAGTTTAACGCTACTCGAGTCGTAGTAAGTACTCTTAAGGAATATATTACTTAAAAGAACGAACTCCTTAAAGAAAACTATAAGAAAGCTATCTACGAATAAGCGTCGATCCTAACCGAAGACCGAGGAAATTAACTACTAAAGCCTAAGGTACGAACTCGAAAGTAATAAACGGCAGCGTATAATAAGCTCGTCTCCTAGTAAATAACGATCGAAGCTTAGGTTATAGCTACTAATAAGTAATATAAGGTCCTCTATAGCTAGATTCTCGTATTTATTTCTATAGGTTTTCTTAAGGTAGTTAATATGGAAATATAGTTCCTAAACCTTAACCCGACTATTTAAAATCTCGTAAAGATTTTCCGTAAGTAAATTACTCCTACCGAAGCCGCTATTAAAACGCTCGTTAAACGAAAATATCATAAGGTACTTTAGAAAATAAAAGCAGGTACCTATAATCCTAAGTAATTCTACGTTATATAATAACATACCTTCCTTCGCGCTCGCGCCTATTATATTAACGAAATTAAAGGCGTTATAGGAGCAAAGGATTTCCTCGAAATAATTAAGGCTAAGATCGTAATCGACTAAGCCATACGGGTATTAATCGCTTTCATTAAAGCTAATAAACTCGGCGAATAACTAAAGACCTTTAAGTAATTAAACATCGTATTTAGCGCTCTTACTACCGAAAATAAGTAAAAAAGTAAATTAAGTTATAGAATTTTCGTAATAACCTACTAAGGACCGACTCTAGAACCGAAATTAGGTAATAGTAGCGGCTAAGGAAAAGTAACGAACTACGAATACCCTTATAAATCTAGAAATAAACTATACTTATAAGTAACTCGCTCTTATAAAATCCTATAGAAATCCGTTACTAATTAATCTATACGTAACCTAAAGCCGATCCCGGTTAATATCATACGAAAAATTAAGGCTAAATACGACTTACCTAAATACGCTAAGCTCCGAAACTAAATCAACCGCTAGGGATAAAACGTTCCCGTAAATAATATATCTAATAATCGCTCCGGAAACGAGAAAGGAAATAACTCTACTACCTAGCTAACTAATATTAACGTAATAATAATCGACCTACGTATCATATACCTATCTACCTAAATTAAGATCTATTCTATTATAAACCTAGTCCGATACCTACTATCGGAAAGTACCGTCTTCGATAACTATAAAGCAATCTACCTTATTAATAATCGTAATCTTCTAATAAAAGGGTCGTTCGTTCCCGCTAGAGACGGATAAACGGTCGAGGCTAATACTACGAGCTTTCCTATTACTAATACGGGTCGTAAGATTATCGAGAAATATATCTTAAATTAATCTAATAAGCCTACCTTTAATCTAAAGCTTAAGGACGTCGTACTTATTAAAGATTTCTACGTTAATATTATCTCTAAAGTAAAACTTCGTAGTATAGGTATTTAGTTTTACGGTTTAAATTATACTTTAAGGAATAAAACCCTCGAGAAAAGTACTATAATAAGAAAGCTAGAGCGACGCTTTAACCTAATCTTTTTTAAATTTAAATAATTCTTTTCTTATTCGTAAATCCTACCCGTAATACTATCTATAATACCATCGAACATTCTACGTAACGTAGCGTCGATCGTAATAATACCTTATTTCCCGGAAAGAAACGTCCGGTAAAGAAGATCAAAAGATACTACTAAATTAAAAAAAGACTCCGAGGTATTCTAGTACTAGCGAATAAGGCATCTTAATCCTAAGGCGCTTAAAGCCCTCGTTAAAAACGCCCGGAACGTTAAGATTAACGATATACCTATAATTAAGTACGAATATTATAATTAAGCGATAGGTAAGAGAGTAATCTCGCGCCGTTTATTAATATATCGCTCGCTACGTCCTTTTTAAAAGGTATACTAGGATCTATTTAACTACCCGGAAGGTTACGACGGATCTAAATAACTTATCGTAATTAAGGATAAATTTAACGAAATATTATAGGTTAAGACCCTAAAAAGTAAGCAAGGTCTACTAGTAATAAGAACTCTTCGACTCTTTAAAAGATAGGTTCGGAAATAATTCCGACTCTTAATCTATAAGATACGCTACGATAACGAACGCTTAATAATAAGTATTAAAAATATATCCGGATATAAGATCTAGGTAATAAAAAAAGGCATTAATCTCGAACTCCCGCCGGCTAATACTAAAAAGCTAACCGGTAAGGGAAAGAAAGCTAAATAAACTATTATCGTTAAATCGATTAAAATAAGGATTAAAGTAAGGCTACTAAAGAAACTATAGCCGGAAACCGTTAAAGCCGCGGCATATCTAATTAACATTAGCCCTAGCTAAGCTTATAATCTTCGCATACCTTACGAGCTCTTAAATACCTAGTTTAAGTAATACTTTAGATAGTATACTCCAGAGGTAATAAGAAAGCTAACAAGCGACCTACGACCGAACTAAAACGATATCTATACATACGGATATCGCGCGTATCCCTTAATAAAAGAACGTACCTAAGACCTTAATAAGAAAGGATTTAAAGTAAACCTACGAACTTATATCGGGTATTTAATAAGATATTATACTAATAACCTATACCGAATTTAGGTTCCTAAACTAAGTAAAGTAATCCTAACTAAGGATATAGTTTTTAACGAAGAAACGTTTTATAGCTAGATAAATAAACTAAAAGCTTAGTAACTCGAACGAAAAAAGATTAATCGAATAAATCTCTCGATACGTATAAGTAATAACGTTACTTAATTAATTATCGAAGTACTAAACCTATAAAATTCGCTCGTACCATTTAATCGAAAGCTAAGTAACGAATTAATTCCCCTCGGAAATAGCGAGCCTACCTCGGGTAACGAAGATCTAAACACGACTTAATCCGCCGGTCCTAACTCGGAAAAGGGGCAGCCTCTAGAAAAAGAACTAAAGATAAATTCCGATAATTTAAAATACGAAACGGCTAGGTCTAAAGACGAATAACCGCAAAAGCTAATAAAACTACTCGAATTAATCAAGTAAGAGATATAAAAATAACTCGAAACGGAAACCTAGGAAAAATTAAACGAAGAAGCGGATATACCCTATAGGCTCCCGAATCTAAAACTTACTCTAATCGTACCCGCGGAAGCTACGGAAAGTAAGAATACTCCGATAAGAAATACAAAGTAACCAGAGTTAGATACGGCTACTAATAAAAGCACCGAAAGTCCGGAGCAACGAATATACTTCGCCGACGGAATAAATACTCGGGAATAGCCTCTAGAATAATTAACTAAAAAAACGTATACTTCCTCCGAAAAAGAAAAGTAATATAACCTATCCCCGTAAACCACTTAGCGTAAGTAACGTAAAAGAAAGGTCCATCCTCCTACTATTCGTTATAATAAAAGGAAAAAAAAAGAAAGCCCGGAAAGGAATAAAGTAATAAGTAGCTTAAGTACTAAAGTCTACGTAACATCGGATAACCTAACGGCTAAGAGCAACCTCTTAAGAGATCGCTAGTTCGACTTCGTAACAACCTTCT